GGTTTTTCGTCCTTATCCGAGAAGACTAGAAAGTCTAACCGTTTGCAGTTGTCATTACAAAGGCAGCACTTTCTTCTCATTGATTTAAAGATCCTGAGTGTTGGTCCGGCTGGTGTTCAAACCCGTGACCTCCCGCTCAGCAGACTGGCGCTCTCCCAACTGAGCTAACCAGGTGGCGGTGTCTGTACCGAGAGGTTCGACTGTAATTCTAACACATTCACTCCTCGTGCAGGAGACAAAGTCATTGCAGACTGTACAGAGCCAGACAGTTTGATGACAGGACACTTGCTAAATAATTCGTTTGGAAATTTAAGGTTTCACTAGGGGAAGAGGGATACTCAGTAAAGTTTTTTGACAGAAAAGGTACCTCCTTCCTACCAAACATTGACAAAATTAATGGTGCCCCTTTCACATTAACCTAATTCAGAACTTCAATTCTGATCACCTGAGAAAGGAGTGCAGTTCTCCTGTAACACGAGTGCAAATTACAAGTGGTTTCTGATTGGCTGAAAACACAAAAGAACACAAAAGAACCCAACGAGAACCAATCAGATTAGAGCTCTTTTAACAACAAAAACTAAGAGAATGGCCATGGTTTTCAGCAATTAACAATTTGATTTTGCATGCCAAACAACAATAGAACAGTTAAAAATATTCCAAAAACCCGAACAAAGTAAAAAGTACGTCTTTCTGCCTAAATGTATTGAAAATGGGGTAAGAGAAATATACTGTCCAGAAACTCAAGGAAAATGAGCCAGAGAAGCTAAATTTGCTACTTAGTACAGACTACGTACGCTGAAGTAAAAAAAAAAGAACAAAAACGGTGACAACCAAATGCAAGTCATGACACCTACACAAAGATACAAGTTTTCCATCATAACAACAGGGATTTCAAGCCACACGTGTTGTCCATTGGAGGAGAAAAGTGTCCGGTTGCTCTCTTTAAGTTTTTTGTCGAGTGAAAACCTCAGCTCTATGCATGAAAACATGCAATGGTCTGGTTCTTTCTACCACAGTACCAAACGAAACCGAAAATTTAATGACAAACAACTGGTTCAAACTAAATCAAACGGCAAAAATATCATAAGTAACAATGAAAATAATCCATAGCTGGTATTAGCCTTGAAGTTAGTGAGAAAAAAGTTTATGAATCAAAGCGCAAGGAAAACAACAGTCAGCTAGCTGAAGAAAGCAAACATTGTACGTTCAGATATCACCAAAGTCACAGGCCACAGAAGTATAAATTTCCTCGACAACTACGATGAAGCCGACGAGGAAGAGCGACGCCGACTCTCTCGTGCAATATCTAAACGAAATTATGAAACCCCAGCGCTGAGAAAAAGCAAATATTGGCAGTTTCCGACATCACAATACTATGGCTCCACTCACCCATCAATGGCAGCGTCAAAAGAAAACAAATTGCCTCCTTCAGTTTCGGGTTTTAATTCTCAAAGATTTCTTCATGAATCCAGCCATGATGGGGTCTCAGGAACAGACAATGATGAACAGTCGTTAAACAACTCAGCAAGTGTCTTTCATCTTTGGCTGCTCAAAGCATTTTCCTGATTTCAAAACGGCAGTACTTCTTGTACCTAAATGCTGAGCTTTCATAATGGAGGACTGATGATTCTAAAAACACTAACCTTTGCTGATTATTGTCAACGAAGTTATCTTTAACAGGCTGGTGTAAAATCAATCCTTGCACATTTCCATGTTCTTAGATGAATGATTTTTAAAGTGTTGGTCTTGAAAAAGGTGTAATTTGACAAAGGTAGTAGTCCGTTTCAGCCAATCACTTGAACGAACTAAAAATGCATGCACTGTCAAAATTTGTTGTTGAAGTTATATTTTTCGTGTATACTATTAATAAGTAATCACATGATTTTTCTCGTGCAATTTGGAATAAATAAGCACTTGTAAATTTTTCAAAGACTAGTCGTTGTTGATCTTTGAAAAATTTACTTGTAAGTGCTTATGTATTCCAAATTGCACGAGAAAAATCATGTGATTATCTATACTAAATATGCACTGCTTTTAACATCACAAAACCATGAAATATTCTCGACATTTTTGCAGCCATAAATTCTTCAGTGTTAGCCTATTTGGTTTTTACACAGACCAAAATAATAAATTGGTAGATTTTCCATCCTTTTTTATATACTTGAACAAGTGAAAGTTCCTATCCATGGGCTCCCAGTTTTACCCAAATTTGTAGCACAGCCTCCACTGGTATAGAAATTGGTAGAAACCTATCGATGCCAGAAAATTGGATTATGACGTCACCGTACGTATATACATCTGTATGTTTTTTCCATTTTGGCTAGACTTAAGCGAATACTTTCAATGAATATATTCTCTGTTGCTATGAGGGATCAGGATGCTAAGCCAGCATTATCAAATATACAGAAGCCACATATTATTCTACAATCACTGGATGGGCCGATTTGTTTTGGCTTGGGTCCTCTTTCCTCTGGCTTTTTTGGAGATGAGGCAGTCTTCAACAACACCCAACACCGACTGTTATTGTGTTATTAACTTGGTTGATTCACGTAAGTGTTGTTAAGTGATACTAAAGCCAATTACACGTAAGCAATTAACATCTTTGATAGCACTGATGGTAATTGCAAACATGGAGGTGATAGTCTGATAAGGCGTTCACATGGGGGAGGGACTTAATAAACCTCTTTTTTTCCAAAGATGTCTACAGACATTCCTTTCTTTTTTTCTAACGCTTTGCGCTCATTCTCGCATAACATATACAATATTAATTTTTAGGCTTTGTATATATATTTATCTTGCTTTAACAATAGTTTCTTGTCAGTGTACTCAGGCACAGATCTAGGATAAAAGCTGACCAATTTCCTAAATTAATAAGTCACGCCGAAGCCACAAGCTTTTCCCCCTACATGTCTGGAAATTGAAAAAAAAAACAAAATGGTTTGGACAAAGTTTGTCCAAACCATTTTCCAGATTTCGACTTGGAAAGTTTTCCATTATTTTATTAAAAATAAAGTAATTTTATTATGAAAAATCTGATTGATTTGAAACAGCGGAAACTGGTGTGGATCTACGCCTGGTACTGCATATTAAAATGAGCAGCACTCTTACCTCATGGGTGCTTGTAACTGGGGTACTGTCATTCCCTGCAGCATCACTCATTATACAGGTACTGCCATTCAAAGTCTGAAAATGGACCAAAGAAAACACTCTTGCACGTCCATCAATGAGAAGACTCTCTTAGCTTATATACGCAACTGTACTCATTACCATTACTGTAAAACTATTATAAGTCACCTCAAAGATATTTAGGGATCAGGTAAATTTCTGCATCACCTTATGCAGTGGGATTAAATCAAGTGTCAGTATAATTATCATGCATAACTGGGCAGAATTAGCCTTTCCACAGACATTTTTCTTTCAAAAAAAAAATTCTACAATGCACATCTATTTTCCCTTTTCCCCACCCCTACCCCCTTGTGGTTTTCACCCATGGTTTTCATTTCCATCTACGCAATCAACAATCTTAAAAGGCAAAATAGAGGGTTTGTGAAGAGGCTAAGGCAGCATGTCCCCCCACCCTGGCTCCTACAGCAAACAATCTGTAGCGACTATTTGTTGAGATCATGCAATTAAGTTATGGAAGTCAGGAGTCCGTAGGTCATATATAGGCTCATGTGGAAGTAGGATATGCCTAAGTTGCAATCAAACTTTCCAGTTAAAGGTTACAGTGTATTACCCCGCCCATTTCCTGGCCCCTAATCAATATCTGTGGATACATATATTGCATTTACGTTTCATTGCTCCTCTCTTGTAGTCAACTATTTTTTGCAAGTCTGGGTAAAAACGTTAATGGTGAGGATTTGCAAGTTCTTACACATTGTTCATCTAAGGGAAGTCTTCCATGAGCCGACGAGGCCTCCGCACTGATCCTGATCATTCATTATATATGCACCAATTTTTCAATACCACTTGAAAAAATACTTTATGACCTTCTTAAATGGTCTTTGACATTATATTGTACTAAAATTTCAAGTAGCATGCATCCTTTCTCCCATTGCTCACTGGTCTTTTGAGACTTAAGACAACTTTCAGCTTTTAAAAACACTTAGACATGTCACTAGCACCTGCGTACGTGTAAATATCATATCAGCAGGTGCTGGAAAGTAATATGGGTGCAAGGTAAAATGGGGTGCCCTTGCATGTCCTGTTCCTTCTTGCCCAACTTGAGATTAAAAAACCCACTGAACTATCTCTACGTGCACAACATATAAAGCAATCCTCTTTATATAATAAAAGGGTGACAGTTTCATTGGAAGTGTCTGTTTTCTTCCAATACCCGGAAAACACAAGATAAAAAAATTTTGTTTCACTCCTCGGAGGACATTAATGTTAGTGGACATCATCTAGTTCTTGTTATCAATAGCATTCTAATGTACAAATAAATAAAGGACGTATACATTGACATGGACCACTCCTGTGGACCTAGTCCATGGACTACCCCTGTGGAGAGGTCTAAACAAATTTTAGGAACCTTAACGGACGAAACTGTGGTTAGCCTTTATTATCAGGGTTTTGGGCTCAGGACTCATATATAGTTTACACTTGTTAAAATTTTTTTTTTATTCCATACCAATGTAATACACTGTAGGTTCATTTTAGTTTGGTGAAGGAGTAACCATATTTGAAGGAAACAGGAGAAGTGGTAGGAAAAAAGTAGTCTCATACACAGCTTTTTTTTTTTTGCCTTTGCGTTGCATCAAAAATTTGAAGCAAAAACGGCTGTATATAAGATTGCAGAACAAGCTCAATTGTCTATGTGTTTGTGATGACAACAATCTCGACTTGAATGGATGACATGGTGATTTACATGAACCAACCTGTAAGTGTCTGCAAACTTGTAAGGTGTTTGAGCAACCACACTGTTTGATAACATGCAGGTCATTTAATGCTTGTCTTGTGAGCAGGATTCAATACGTTTGCCGATCAATAAACATTTCCAAGGGCTATCAAGGGAACTTAGGAAAGTCTGGGGAGGGTACTCAATCATCATGCATTACCTCTTCCTCTCTAGTCTCCTATGCAGCCATTTTTGTGCCAATTTTCACACAATGTGACAACACACAGAAAAAGCTGTATAAATAAATACTTCCTCCCTACCTCTCCTGATGTCCCCTCCAAATAATTATTATAATTTGCTTAACCTTCCAGACTAAAATTATGAACCCATGTATGGAATTCAGGAGTAATTTGAGCAAGTGCATAATATTAAGGAAACTCATGGCAACAAATACATTGTACATATAAGGCCAACTTACAAAGCTACTTACAATTGTAAAATAATATGTACAAAAATAGATAATAAATCCCCTGATCCTGATAATATTAATTGACACAATTTCTTCCATTTAAGGCTCCTAAAATTTGTTTAGACCAACGATGACATCGGTACCTGTAAGATTTGAAGAAATGACAGCAAGTCACCGGTTTGAATTACAGAGTGAAACCAAAGACAATCATCAACAATCAAGGAAATTGAGGACATGTCTCCCTGGTAGCCGTTGTAGGAAGCCGAAAAGGGTTTTATTTTAAGTCACTAAACCTAAAAAAGCTTCTTCTACTAAAAAAATTTAAATAATTGTGGCAATATAATACAGTTACAGAGAGAAACAGCTTACCTTCCTCCATCGTGCTCGCTCCTTCAGGAATCTATAGAAAAAATTTTACTTGAAAATTAAGGTACAAGTAAAAAAAAATAACACTCGGTCTGCACAGTCTGCACGGTCTGCAGTCTGCAGTCTGCATGGTCTGCGTTTCAACATGACCATTACTCGGTCCGATTTATCCTTGGGAGCACTAAATCAAACGAGCCCCCTTGTCTGCTTTTAGGGCTGAAACAAGTTCTCGGTACCAATCTGATCCCCGAGAACCAAACTTGACACACAGATGAAGGGAGTGCCAGCTTTGCCTGTTATCAATCAACTTTGTTTTCCGGAACGTCATTTTTCAGCCAATGATATTTCCCTTCGTCTGGGCGAAGTACAAATAAAATTTTATGAGAGATCGTTGCAAGCTCTCCTTTCCTCAGCTCCTCGCGGCTTCGCTGCTCGCTCATGTGTTCTTGCGTGACTCGTTTCGCTCGCCCAAATAGGAGAGCTTGCTCGCAGGCTATGATCAAAAATGGTCATAAACTTACGTCTATTCTTTTGTTTTCACGTAAACATAAGTTGTAGAATCTCTCACTCTTGTAAATCGTAGTCAGTGGTAATTTAGTACTAATATAAAGTGATACAAATCATAATCATGCTGCCTTGGCACTAAACCCTCCAACGTATTATTAGCCTGTGTACAGACGTCCCCCCTCCCTCAGGAAAAATCGGGAGAGGAAGCGTCTGTGAATCGCTGACGAAAATCGTGTTCCCGTTTCCCTGGAATGTTGGGAACAGCCTCTGATTGGTTGTAATGTTAATGCCATGACGTATATAATTTCCGGTGTTGTGATTGGTGAGTGAACCTCAGAATAGATTCCCCAGGGAAAAAGTCAGCCTTTGTGGACATTCATATTTGTTTACCAGTATTAGTATTTCGGCTCTCTCGAAAAGGCATGAGAAGTTACCACCGATGTTTGCTGCTCAGTATTGTAAATAAAAGAGAAGGCATACAAAATCCAACGTTAACAGCCAAGGCAGGTCAAGCTTAGCCCAAAAAGATTCTATTAATGAATTGATTATTTGTATAAATGAATCCGTTAGTCGTTCCTGTAACTGGTGTCAAATTTAAATTGGCATTCCTGTATGCGTAATGACGCAGCAAATATTTTAAGAGAACTTCTCTGCATTTGGTCAGATTGAAAATCTTTGAATGGATTAAATGTCTTAGAAGACATTTACATCAAATTCAGGGAAACTGAGCTGGTAGAAATTTCGTAACTGAATCGCCTGTGAATTCACGGCTCATTACGCATGCAAGAATGCACACAGAGATGAATCTGAAATCTACAACTACCAACGGTTCAACTCTTGGAAGGTACGCTTGACCTGGCTTGACTGTAATCAGAGATCTTATGTCTGGATTTTTGGGTGGACGTTGTGTGAAGATGTTCGGCTAGCCTGTGCACAGATGCCAGAGCAATTTTTCGACCTAAATGTACCTTTTCAACTGTCGGCGAAAAATCAACAAACAATTTATGCAATTGTATACTGGAACACAAACGGCGGCGATTCACAGACGTCTCCTCTCCCGATTTTTCCTGAGGGATGGGGGACGTCTGTACACAGGCTACGTATTATAAGCTTGGATTTTCTCACACCAAACATTGCGCCGGCATGTAACACTTATAAAACCGGAATTTGCATGAGAAGACTGAATCAGAGGAGCAAAGTGAAAAGTAGAAGCGAATTTCCTTACCTTATAGATTAAAACTTGGATGCACGTTCCCTATCAGATACAAGCTAGGCGTCGATAAATGAGAGAAAGGAAGAAGTGTGAGTTGACAGTCGTGTGAGTTGGTAGGCTCGATTACGAGCCGCTGTTCGGGAAAATGAGCCCGCACTCATCCCCCGGGGAGGATCAAAAACCGCACCCGGGAGACGGCGGAAATCGAGCCTACGTTTCCGGTTGCACGTTGGCATCGCAAGCCAAAGCATTGCAGTTGTGTCCTCCGTTGCAGTTTGGTCCTCTCACCTATAATGCATTTTTACTTCTTCCAATCAAAGTGCGTTGTGATCGTGTCTTCTTCATGTGACTTCTCAACCAGGGGGAGGGCTGTAGTATGAGTTCTGTTCGTTTCATTGTCCTGAGGCTGTTGAAGACTTGTGTATGAAACAGTTTCGGAGCGTTTTTAGACTGTTCACAGTCCCCTATTTTTTCGTGAGATCGTTTAGATATACCACGTCTTACCGTCACGGGTATCTTGATTTTCAAAGGTACCGAAGGGGCGGGCGTCGGTGCTCTGAGGGGGGACGGGGGAGGGGCGAGAAAAATAGAGGTAAAAACTTGCAAGAGGTGACAGGCCGCACATCTTCACCGGCGTGAAACCTTTGAAACCTTTTACATATTGCTCCATTGAGGAGACCTCTTTCAGGGCATCTTACAGTTTAAAATTTGAACGATGATATCGCTTCTATGTAGCGGACCAAGATACGGTTCGGTACAGTTTATGTTCAGCAAGGGAAAATTGTGTAAGTGGAGCAGAACCTTTTAAATATTCAACAGACAATTTATTCAGTTCGCGCGTATTCCTGTTGAATTTGTAGCCCCTTTATGAGATATGTCTACTCAAATATATAATAATTTTTCCATAGCTGCTGTTATGTGAGAGTAACTGCTTTTAATTTCTCCGTAAAGTTTAGGTTTACGCGATCTCAGAGAACAATGTTTAGCTGTACTCAGCACGTAGTCTTTTTAAAAAATATATATATCCAGATCTGACACTGGTTTTGGGTATTTATCACGTCTAAGCATGATTTAAATACATTATGATGCTGTGTCCTTTGAATGTCGTCTTAAAACTCAATCGCTTTGTAAATGTCACTTGTAGTTTTAATGTCGGAGGAGAGTATTTTAAAGCTCAATATTTTTCAATACCATTAACATGTTTTTTTACCAATCAATTGACTGGCTTCTTTGTGCCACTACATAATGCGTGTAGTTAAATGTAAGTTTACAAGCAAGACCGGCGGTTTCGAATCTTACGATTCTCATCAGTTGCTATGTGGTGGGATGGTTGAGGTGAACTCTGAACCATTCCATATTGCTTGATTTAGTAAGCGTTTATATATCCACCCTGGTTTGTTTGGAGGATCGAAAATGGTGCGGTTTGATTGGTTCCTTGCAAAAAACCAGTCAGGTTGCTGTAGGTTGATCCGTGTTTTTTCAAAGCTAGGTTGTGTTTTTATAAAGGTTTAAATTTGAAAAATAGGAGTCTTGCCTTGCTTTTTTGTAAAGTATAAAAACATCTTGTTTCTCGCTTCCTCCCAAACCGCCCCCGCCCCCTGAGTAGGTTTGACACTCATGCAAGATGGCAGCTCATCACGCAAAGCGCTTGATCTCGACGTTCTTACGGAAAAATGAAGGACTGTGAACAGTCTAGAGCGTTTTCCCATATGGGTTTTTGGAGAATTTTACAGAAGTTTGAAGTTTGTTCGAAACTTTCCTCGGCCAACGCATATGTTCATATGTTGCAGAGCTAGACAGCCTGGGACAAGGATGAACGCACAATCAAAGAGTTCGGAAGAAGGACAGTAGCAACAAGAATGTACGGTGGCTTTGAGGTGGTACCTCAGAGCCACCGTATTTTCGCGCTTCTGAGGTAAGGTGTTATTTGCAGTTCTATCAAAGGCTTTTTTATATAAGGATTTGAGTCATGGTACAGATAAGCTCAAGCTAGGCTACCTCTAGTCTTGTTTTTATATGTCTTGAAGTTGTGAGCTTTTTGATTTTGCTGCAAATTGTAAGTTAAGTTACTGCTTAAGCTTATTTACCGAGCCGGGCTTGTAAAAACTGACCGTAACCAGAAAAAACTGAAGCATTGTTCATGGGGATTTTGAAGTCTTCCTTTAGAAAATAATATATAAACACTTGATTTTAGAAAATAATAGCCTATTTCAAAGTTTAGGTTGAAGAGTTTCCTGTATCATGAGGGCCCTCAAATTAGCAAATTTAGGGATTAGTGCACTCATTCAGGCAGCCGACTGCATGATTCCCTGAAAGTGGCTAAGAATAATAATGTGGAATTCAATGTGGATGTGTTTTGCTTTTGATTTGGAAGATGACACTGTTAGACTTTTTTGGATCAAAATTCTGCAAGAAATATGAGCTCAGTTGCTTTCAATTTTTATTTGGTCAGCTCTCTAAGATGGACACCTCTGGCATCAGGAAAAAAGGGTCTGTCTTAAAGAGATGTCTGTCTTTTAGAGAATCATATAAAGGAAGTAAAGCAAAGTAGGGACCAGCTCTAGGTGTCCAATTTATGGTGTAGCGAGATGTCCGTTTCGGGATTTTGCATTTTAAAATTTAGCATGAGAGCTACAGTACTCCTGGACTCACTATCATGCTGAATTTCAATATATACAAATGTAGAAAGAGGCCTTTTTGTGGATGTGAGGGTACATATGTCTGTAGACTAAATTTTAAATACTTTCAAGCAGTTTCAAGTTTTTGCATAATTTCTGTATTCAGCCCATCGTGAACTGTGTTTGTTGTCACTTAGTCTTCTGTCACTGTTTCAAGGCAAGGTCGTTTATCAGAATTTTACCCTATCAGAGCCTCTAGAAGGTGGGCTATTTCAATATTACAGTTAAAATGTTAACCTGCAAAGAAGTGATGATACCAGTGGGGTTAATGTTTTCATACTCACACATTGAATATGTTGTGGCCCGCTTAAGGCAGCACACAGAAACTTTTGGCATACAATAAAAACCCCATGACACAGAACCTGGATTTTAAGAGCCTGTTAGGCCAAAATGAGCCAGTTAAGCCCCCCTTCTATATAAGAACCTTGTTAACCTAAAATTTGAAATAGGTTCTTGTCTATGGAAAAAATTCTGTACACTTGGGTAAATATCAGATAAGTCAGCATTCAGAATTCTCTTTGGAGACATAGGTGCCTTTTCACGCCAACTGAAATTTATATGCCAGTGAGGTCAATGCTTTAGTACTTTATCTGGTCATTTTTGCATAACTTCTAATTTGGTATGCAAATTTTTTTCCCTGGGAGAGGGTGTCTGTACAAACTGTCGAGGCCACCACATAGTCACTACATGACCATTGTGTGACATAGCATCTCATGAGAGAGTTAAACATAAACTCATCTGAACATTGTACCCTTTTGAAAGACTTTCGTAACAAGAAAAATGAGTACCATTTCTAAATCAGAGCTGTAACTTTTCAAATTCCACCATTATGAATAAAAGTAAGCAAGTTAGCCATTCTAAGCAGGAAACAATAAGCGTTATTTTCATGCACCCCTGCCCCAATCAATCCCTCTTCCACCACCCCCCCCCCCAAAAATAAAGTGTGACAGTATTACATGACTGATTTGACCTAACCATAAATTAAAAAATTATTGTCGTTCTATGGGTCATAAAACACTATTAATAAGCAGTACGTCATTTCTCAATTCTAGTTCTTAAAACTAACAAAGCAAATTATTTAGGTTTCGTTTTTGTTTGATATTGCATTATTTTAAAGCCTTTCTAACTGTCCTAGTAAATATAGATACATAATTTTTTTTTGGATGTGGTGATGTACAATGAGTACATTAATTTTCCCAGGACATTCCTTTCCTGTAAGGAATGACATTTCATATGCAAAGCAAGAATTTGGTCGTCACATTTTAAACGGTTTAAACTTCAACAAAAAGCAATGACAAACCTCAAAGCAACCCATCATACCATCTTTTGTAAAACGCACTGAAAAAACTGCCAATGATAGCTTGAGAGACGTCTTTATTCAATGGATGTACACACACACACACCCACACTAGAGCTCTAGACACAGAGAGAGATTTGCAATCACGTTTTGGAAGGGAAAAAACTCATCAAAAAGTTTAAACTTCAACAAAAAGTAAAGAAAAACCACAAAAGGTACGCATCATGGCATCGTTTGAAGGAGACGTTGAAAAAGCATAGTACGCTAGCTTCAAACACATCTTCATTTAATCGCTGCCTTTGCTTATGTGCTTTATAGTTAATAATTTATAGTGTTTATCACCGTAAGTAAAGACAATGAAACTTTCTGGGGGAGTTTTCCCTTACATTTGTCTTATAGGTATTGATCTGTATTAATAAATAAGGTCTAGGGTCAGGATTTGGAGAGCAAAACAACACAGCCCCCCCCCATGAAGTCCCAGGAATACCCCCCCCCCCCAGATTTGTCAGTAGTTAATAATAATATTTTATTATTAACTACTAACTTATTATTGATAGCGTACATTTTGTGAACAAAAAATCCCAGAGGGGAACTGCCTCACATTTGCCTAATAGGTATTGGTCTGAAATAGGTCTCGGGTCAGGATTTGAAGAGTAGCTAGACTGCACACCCCCCACCAGGAATTGCTAGAAATACGTACGGGAGAAAAAATCGAAGGCATTTGATGAACTGGGCCCGCCTTTTGGCGCTGACCCACTAAATACTCTTAGCTGTATTGCATTTTTTTTTCTTCAGAAAATAATAACCTTTTAAGAACCTAAATAGCCTTAACTTGTGCTAACTACTATTTCTATAAGAACCTGTTTAGGCTACCTTCGTCTTGAATATAAAACGCATAAACCATTGTCCACAAATTAAAGGTGCTAAAACCGACACCAGAAGCCTATTATACTCCGAAGCTTTCTGTAAACTAGCTTACAAATCATTTCTAACCCAAAGCACCTCTTTCCCTTGTAAAAGTCAGGAAACATGGCTGGCTGCAGACTCAGCAACTCTTGTGACTTTGACTCGATTGATTGGGGTAAGTCATATACCCTTGCTTTTCTATGTACTAACAAATCTAAATTACGTGT